CTCTTCCTCCCAGGTTCCCGATGCTGTCTCCCCTGTCCCCGTTCCGCTCCCTCCCCAGGCTGTGCCCCCATCAGTCCCACCTCCACACTATCTCTGGCCTCTCCGGCCTGGCCCCAAAACACGGCTACCGCTGCACCCGCTGTGCCCAGAGAAAGTGGCCCCCTGTCCTCATACCTCCCCTGGATTCCCTGAAAGATCCCCTGAAGCCCCCCCAGACCCTCATCCTGCCCTCCCTGAACACATCCACCGACCAGCAGAAGAGACCCCTGCTGGGGGGAGTGTTTGTCGACACCCACCATACACAAGCTGCTGTGCCAAATACTGTACAGGAAAAAGTGGAAGGGAGTGAAGTGAAGGAGAGGAAGGAGGGAGAGCTGACTGTGTTGTCTGTGGGGAGGTGAGTGCACATGACACAGTGGAAATATACACAATGTGATTTCAGATAAAGTGAAGTATTGTTCTTAACTACAGTTTGGAGGTACTTTACTCAAGTAATTTCATTTTCTGCTACTTTTTACTTCTACTACACCACTTTTTTGAGGGAAATATTGTACTTTTACTCCATTATATTTCTTTGAGAGCTATAGTTATGAGTTACTTTGCAGATTAATTTATCTTTACATAAAAAAATGATTATTTTAAGTATAAGTATCCAGTTACATAAAAATTATGAAGAATTAGCCCCTCCTCAACCAAGCTCAGTTGGTTATCTCAGTATCACTTATAATAATCCAATAATATAATTTTGTAGTAATTCAACTGCTTTTACTTTTTATACATTATGTACATTTTTCTCATATCACTTAATTTTGAATGCAAGACATTTTTACATAAAATTTTTACACAGAATCTAAGGATCTGAATACTTCTTCCACCACTGACATATTCATAACTCATTTACAGTCCAGTCCAGTAGAAAGGCTGGAACCATCTGTAAACTCTACAGGGTTTTTAATATAAGAAAATTCAGATCTAAAACATAGCAGAGAAGGAAAGAGTGATCCTCACAAACACTGAAATAGCTTCACACTCCTGCAAATACGTGTGTGTTATAGAGGCAGTCATAATACAACGATTATCTGAATGTAGCAGTGATCATATCTTTTGCTCGACCGACAGATTTCAAGTTGCTCAGATCCCCGAGCAGAAGCCCATCACTGTGGAGACCAAGACATCATCCCAGGAGCAACGAAACTCCCTGTTCGGAGGGAAAGCCTTCTGCTCTTCTTCATCATCTGGAGTCAGGAGGTACAACTTGCAACACACAGCCCCCTCTCCCTCGCTCTCTTGTTGCTCTACTCATGTCTCTGCTTCCACAGTTAAAGTGCTGCAAAGTGGTTTAAGATCATTAGCATGTCAACTCACATTGTTCTGGCCATCAATGAATTATGTGGTCTGTTTCACTGGGAAAGGAAATTGTCCTCATGATCGGTTTATCAGAGGAGTGTCTCTAAAAGGATTTAGGAAATGAGCTTCCTCTCTTTCCTCTTTTCTATTTATGCACATGTGTACGCAACACTCTGAAGCAGTGACAGTAATCATGTGGCCATCTGTCTGTTGGATTCATCATGTCCTAAAATGCCTTAAGTAGGCAATCATTTCTGCAGCAAAATCATCCCAAATGAGGACTAATGAGACTAATGTGCTTTGAAAAGGCTCATGAGTTATCAACTGTTTCACTCCTTGTTTCATTCTGTCTTTTATGTCCTGATCCGGCCACTTCCTTGACATTTATACTCTCTCTTTCAGGTGAAGGGACAGAGAGAAGGTGTATGATAACGCTACCTCGCTGAAGATGACCTCATCATTCGCTGATGGCTTGACAGCTGGCAGGGAGGGTGACAACGAGAACCCATAAGAGCCACCTCCTGCTGGAAGAAGTTGTTTCTATTCATGCGATAAGAGGATTATAAATGTATTTATTATTACATAAAAAAAAACATTTTACTTTACAGATTTACCATTATGGAAGTTCAACTCAAATCACAGCTCATTCACTGTCCCAATACAAAGAGAAAGTTCTTTTGTTGGATACACACAGGGGGTGGGGTGGAGAGTATAGTGTTGTGATAAGGTTGTCAGCACCTGACACTAAAAGGGAGGATGAGAAGGAGTAAACAAAAAAAAGAAAAATGCACTCTTAGCCCCTGTATTTGTGCTTACATGTAAAAAAAAATAGACACAGGGGTAAAACACACATGCAGTACATATAGACATACACATCTAGATGTACTCACTTACGCTCATACACCCATTATAGTAAATGCATTGTCTTTCTTGTGAACAACGAAGTGAGGACAAAAACACAGTGGAATACTTTACTGTCAGAAAGCAGTGAGACTGAAACAAACATTTATCTTCACTTCAGTGTAAAAAAGAGGAATGGAAGGAAAGGAAGGTTTTCATTACCAACCGACTCAGCAAATCTGGCTCGGCTGAAATAAAAACCTCTGTAATTCTGTATTCTTCAGATGACACTTGATTAAAGACTACAGTAGCACTACTACTAAGTATTATAAAAAAAATTCTAAAAGTCAATATCATTTTGATGTTTTAACTATTTTTCATAAGGTTAGTGATATAGCTTCTCTTCTTCTGCTCACGTAGGAACTGCTAGTGAGTTGAGGTTTTAGACCTTGAAGATGTTGAATGTAGTCTTAACAGAAGAAGCTCAGTGCATTCACAGAGGTCAATTCACTCAGTGAACCTTTGAGAGTTTGAGAAACACTGCACCCACAGTCAGCATTGATCACATTTCTAACTTTTTAGCTCTTAACACTAGGTCCAAGTAGGTGATATGGGGCCAAAATGTGTTCTTTCATGGGGTCCCTATACTGAATCACATGTTTTTTTTTTTTTTTTTTTTTTACAACACTGCATCCCAATGGCAGTTAGAGGCTGCAATTGTCATTTGGGTCCTGGGGTGAAAATCTAGATGGGTAGGTATCACTTTTGTAGAATAGAACATGTAAATGAATGTATATATGTAAATATGGATGGGTATAGAGAAACAGACCATATCTGGCTTTTATAATTTTTAGCATACAGTTTGTATGAGGTGATCAACACTGCACCAATAAGTGACATTCGTAATCCATGAACCAAAAACTGGTAAACTCTGTCACACCAGTGTGCTTTTAAGGTGAACTGCTGGTTAGAATCGGCATGACATGTATGATTTTTTTCACCATTTGAGAGCAACATTTCAGTGTTTTTCTTTTTCTTTTGCAAAACTGTTATGGTTTTCCATTCTATTCATGAACTTTTAAAGTCCTCAACACACACACACACACACACACACACACACACACACACATGCAGTAGCCAGACTCCAGTTATGCGATCTCAATAACTGTAAGAAACTACTCCCATACACACACACACACACACACACACACACACACACACACACACACACACACACACACACACACATATTTATTTTTTATTGTTTAATTAAAGAAACCAACCAGTGGCTGCAGAGGATTAGTGGTTGAGATGCCTCAAAGTCATGCAGCTCAGTTGGCTTCGGTTTACATCCTCATGGGTTTTAAAGAGTGTACTATAATCATAGAGGTTTTTTAGCTACTCATTTTCATATTTTCTTATTATGTTGCTAAGAGGAATATGACAACATGTCTGGAGGACTGGATATTTATTGGTTGCAACAGTTACATGTTTTTATTTGATCTGTTTTTATTACTATCATTAGGATTATTATTACATGTTTTCAAGCTGAAGTGCTGGTAGGAAGGACAGATAAAAAAAACCATTCATCTCATCAAGTTTGTAGATTGCATTTATAATATTACATTTTTACTCTTGAAATAAAGAATTGTATTTTAAATGCTGTCTTGTTTGCTCTTCTTGCTGGTGACATACACTAATGTGGCGTTTTAGTGTTTGTTTGCTGTTGTATGTTGAGTGTCAACGTCTGGTGAACTGCGAAAAGTCAAATTTAGTTAAAACTCATAAAGCATCATCAGCTATTAGCCTGTCTTGTTTGTAAGGCAGTACAACCCCCTAGTGGTGGTCTTGTGCTCATTAGATAAAAGGACCACTGATTACATAAATTAAGTCAAGCCAATGCCAGTGAAATTACCAAGTGGCTCAGCTACCCCGCAACTAAATTTTGTGTTCCCACTAATTACAGTTAATACTCATAACCAACAAGCCGATGTGACGTCTAACTCTGGTTTCAGTACCCTGCTCAGCTGCTCAGAAGCTGTATGGTTCCAGTTATCCAGTTAGACACTATGCACTTAGATTAAAAGAAAACATGAATACCAGTTAGTGGCCAACCTTTTTCCTTTCATTGAGTAAACTGATGATTCCTGACTATGTGACATTTTTATGGATATTTCATATTATATTCAATGAATAACAATAACAGTTCTTTAGCTCATAAACTATGAATTTAACCCACATAGTGAACACAATAACTGCAAAAAGTTTGTGTAAAATGATGAATTGTAATCTATTTCTATTAAGTGTATTATGTTGTTGTTTTTTAACAATCATACTTAATATGCTTCTTCAGTTTAGTGTTTTCTTATCTCTGAGAGTCAAGGCTCTGTGAACATAGTTTGCGTTCAGGTCTTCACTGCGCCCTTATCCTGTGAAGGTTTTTTAAAATGTATTATGTTCCATATTTTTCTTCTTACATCTATTTCTTTATATCTAATAATCAAACTTTCAGAATAACAATTTAATTTAGTTTTCTTCACATAAATAAATGAGGAGCTGAGATATAGCACATATTTAGAAATATGTTTTGTTACACCCCTTAAAAATTAAGAAGGCCCCATGACTCCCCATGAAGCTCTGGCGACATCTAGTGGGTTGGAAGACTCTGAACTATACTACACCTGCTCTCCTAAGACTTTGTCTTGCAGAAAGATAGTGAGACTCATTCTACAGTGATTATGCTGTATATCACGTATATATTACTTGACACAAATCAACATGAGGCAAATAATACAAATGCATCACCACAAGAATTTTGTCAAAATGTACAGATCTTTATTAAAACATAATTATTAATTCCTTCACATTTTGTAACACAAGGTGACAAACACGCAAGCACATACTACTATGGGACATTCAAAATAAACCTCAAAAACCATAAAAGTTGCTGAACACACACACACGCTATTTTTGTCTGATATGTGGCTCAGAGTAAGGAGAGCTGAGGAAAACCTTTTTGTTCCTATACAGACATTCAAACAACAGGTGTTAGAATCAACAAAACCCAGCTATTGAGAACTGTGTAGTTTAGTTCTGTCCCTACATTATACTGTGGCATTTCAAACATAAATAAAAATATAATCTCTAGAAATCCTTTTAATGTCTTTATTTAGGAATGAACTAAATGATTTAGATGTTTATTTATAACCTGCAGTCATCGTAACTGTACTATATATTAGATTTTTACATTTGGTCAGATCTGAACATGTAATTACAGTGGCTTTATTACAGAAACATCCTATCTTAAGTTAGGATAGAAAGGGTCTTTTTCTCAGTTTGGTATCAGAGAAGCAAATCCTAACTTTAGAAATCCTTATCTTATTTCATCCTATCTTATCTCAGGTGAGGAACTCCTAAATACTGAAATATACATTGAAAGTCTAAAGGTTACCAAAGACTTAAAACAGTAGCTGCACGTTAGGAAGTTTCTGTAATACAGCCTAGACCTGTTAAGAGTGTGCTCCACTGTACTTTGTAAAACTCTCAAGTGATAAATGAATTATGCTAAGACTTTTTGCAGTAGGATTTTAAAGTGTTTCCCTGGTTTTAACTCCACACTTGCGAGATAGAGAGATTCAAAGGTCCTGTGTGCTTGCTAAACAGACAACCGGCGGACATTTAAGATTTAAAAGTGCATTCTCCATACATAGTACAAGACTTGTCCTCATAAACTTTTTCCAAGATTTGAAGTATTGGATCAGAGTTGCGTTGTTAAGCTTTGGCTCACACCTGTTGGTTTCACTAAAGCTGACTTTTTCTTCTTGGTGAGGTTGCTGCGGGCGTCCTGCCCAGCCAGGAAGTAAAGGATAGGGTCCAGACAACTGTTGGCGCTGGCAAAAGGTCGGGTCACCTTGTAGGCCACACTGGAGGCCTCCAGCAAACTACAGCTGATCTGATCAACATATAAAATAAAAAATGAAACACAAACTGAGCTTTTAAAGTCAATGGCACACATTTATTATTCTAAAACAAGTGTTTGTCCTTACCTGTGCTGGATTGACCTGCCTTAGGTATCTAAAGGAGTAGTACAGACTCCTGGTGAGGTGGAAGGGGAGGAAGCACAGCATGAACGCTGCCAGCACGATGATGATCATCTTCACTGACTTCTGCTTGGAACGGTGGGCTGCCAGGCCCCCCTCTCGCCCCTCAATTCCCCCTTCGGACCCCCAGCCAGGCTCTAGAAGCTTCCGCACCATGAGGCCATAGCACACCATCACCACCATAAAGGGCAGGGCAAACATGAGAACTGACACAACTGAGCTGTACACTAGGAAGTCATCAAAAAGCTCCGGGCTGGTCGTGTCGTAGCAGACCCGTTCTCCGTCCACATCCCTGGTGAAGGAGATAACGATTACAGTTGTTCAGGGTTATTAAATGATACTGCTGCCTCGTTGGGCATTGAACCACAGAAAAAGAAATAGGAGTGACAAGAGAGGGAATAAAATGTAAATTTGGTAGATAGCAGGTTTGTTGTTCATTTAAGTGTGTCCTATTAAGGCACCCTAAAATAAGGTACTTGGCCAAATTGGTTTGCACCAAAAATCTATATTCTACACTTAAACACACTTTCAATATAATGAAAAGGGATATTAAGTAAGTAGAGAAAAAGAAAGAAAGAAAGAAAGAAAGACACATTTTACAAATTTAAATCACCTAGTTCTTGAGAAGTAGAGAACAGGTGCCTGGCAGAATAAAACACAGGCCCACACTGCCACAGATACCAGCCTGGCCTGACGAGCGCTGACCCAGTGGAGGGAGCGGACTGGATAGCAGATACCCACAAACCGGTGCAGACTGATACAGCACAGGAACAGAATGGAACCTGCAGGACGATATTTAATATTCAAGTGCTTGCTCATGGTGGTACTATTGGGTCTCTGTAAATAATGTGATAAGGAGTTCAGTGTAGACCTGCTCTATTTGAAAAATGTCCTGAGATAACTTCTGTTGTGAATTGACGCTATACAAATAAAATTTAATTGAATTGAATTTATAGGGTTAGTTCAGATTTTTCAAAGCAGGGTTGTATCATAGTCAGTGTATTACCTTCAGTAGATGACACTCAGCACGTCCCCAGTTTGGAGAAGCAGAGTGCATACACAAAAGCTAAGCAATGTGCTGCTGAGGGCACTAACAAAATGTATTTTAGTTTGGATCATCTGAACGTGTTAAAACACCCTCCATCCACAGCAGTACACTGCTCAGCTTCCATGCTGAGCCTCTCGTCTGCTTCTCCAAACTGGAGCCATGCGACTGCCATCTACTGTAGCACACTGACTATTAATGGGTACCTCATACAAGCCCACTTAAATCATATTATTTAAACCATATAAGTTAGCATTTCTGATATCAGCATATATTTTTTAGTATATTATCTTTATGATATGGTATAGTATGATATATTGCATGGCATCCTAATGTATCATGTTGTGTCATATCAACTTGTGTCTCACTGTGTTGTCTCAAGTCAGATCATATTACATCCTATTGTATCATTTTATATCTATATTGTACATACATTTTGAACAAAATTGTCATATTGCATCAAAATTCATCTTGATGTATTACACCCTATTGCATGATATTCTGCCATTCTTTAAATGTATTAAGTAATTGTTGTATTTAATTTTATCATATCATATTGTAAATGTTTGTACCATACAGCCTTGTATTGTATCATAGTACAGTGTAGGGCAGCTTATTGTAGCTGTTGTGGTGTATTGTATCTTACTGTAGAGTATAGTATTTTAACTTAGTGTAGCCTAGTGAAACATATTGTATTATATAGCCTTGTATTAGCAGTATGTATGATCATACCATACTGCTACTGTATATATTACATCATTATGTATTGTATTATACTGTTCACATATTCTACATTATATTATATTGTATCATATCATCTTGTGGTATATCATACTGCCATAACGGTACCATATCATTTCATATTTTCTTTATGGGTCAGTACCATGTCAGAACTGTACCATATAAGTTGGCATAAAACAGGAAGCGTATGAGCTTGCAGAACGGTTCACTGAAGGGCCAGTCATTCTCATCTGCATAGTAATAGATGAGGAAGGGCAGAGTGAAGATGTAGAGAGTGTCACACATCGTCAGGTTGAACATGTAGATAGTGGACGGCTTCCAGCGCTTAGTACGGAACACAATCACATACAACGCTGTGGCGTTCAGCGCCAGGCCAATTACAAAGACCAGGGCATAGCTGACAGGAAGCAGAATATATTTAAAATCTTCTTGAAATTTACAGTAGAAGGCACTGGTATTGAATAGGGTGGACTCATTGTTGTCAAAGGTGGCCATCTTGGTTGTGAAAACACCTGAGGAAGATAAGCACAAAGGAAAAGATTATAAATATGTTGCATTTGAATCTAGAAACACTTTACTTCTCTAACCATGAAGAGGTCATCATACACACAGAAACAAAGAGTGTGAAGACACAGGAAATGGATAGTACCAGCAAGGAAAGTGAATCAACCTAGATTACCATTTTAGAAGCAAAGTCATTCACTTTGGCATGCCGTAGCAGCACAGTCCGGTATAAGTCATTTCATCCTCAAGCATAATTGACCGGCCCATTTCACAATCAAATTGACACAATCCAGTTTATAGCTTGAGTCATCCAATTTTAAAGTCATTGTGAATTTCGCACGAAGTGAAGCATTTTACTAATTGTGTTTTTCTTTCCGAGTGGGTGGTTGAGTAAATGAGAAAGGAATTGTGAGAGATAGAGAGAAGAAAAGAGGATACTTAAATGGTGGCACCCACATTAAATTATAACTGATTATCATATGCTATCCTCAACACTCATTCTGTTGGAATACATGAACAAGTGTGTGAGTGCTGTGCAAATATAGTCACAAGATGTACTGCCCCACCACCTGGCCTAACATCATAACATCTTGACTCAATCTCACAATCATGTCTCAGCAGATTACTGAAATATTTATCAGCCTAACATTACTGCCTCTCCTTTCTCCGCCCACAAAAGGGAAAAAAAATCTCTCTTGTAACACATCTGAGCTGCAGAAGATTCCAGCAAAGATTCACAGAGACTTGTGATGCAACAACTTCTTAAAAAACCTTTGGAGCACATGTGTTCGCACAAAGAAAAACACCACACAACATATTCTGGCACTTTGCGTGTCAAAGTTTTCCAAAACCTCATGGCTGTTAGCTGGAGAGACAGAGGAATAACGTTTTAACTCAAACCAGACCTTGTTTTGAGACTCTGTTCAATCCTTTCTTTCTGCTTCATTCACTGGCATGCATGCTACATTATTGTCTCTTCAGTCAATTGCTTCTATTCCTCTACAAATCTGTCTGTTTACCTGACAAACACAAGCTCAAATCAGTAATGTGGAACCTCAAAAACTCACATGCAAATAAGACAGCACAGGTCAGACCTACTTGTTTCTCTGATGAGTTAACCCACAGCGCTCTTTTTTTCTTCTCTCTCTGACACTATTCTCGGCACCCTTTGCTTTCTCCTGTTTTCTCTTCGAAAACATCTGCTGGTTAAATTTAACAGATAACAGACCTGAGACAGAGCGGCCCCTTTTGTACAAATTCTTCTGACCTGCTGTGTGCATGCCATACCAAACCAAGCACAACTTACTATTCAGCAATAAAGTAGCCTGTGGTTTTTCTTGTTAAACTGGCTATGCATTAATATCCACATTTTCCCAAGAAATATACTGAAGCCCACATTCCCCTTTAAAATGTATCAAATTACTCACACTGTATGAATGCTATCGACTTTCAAAGACTGTCCTGCGTTGACCATCCTATGTAATGTATCCTCATTCTCACTCGTAGATACAGTGTGTATCTGAATGCGTCGCTTATGGCTGAATGCGCACCTAAGATACTGAAGATAATGAGTGAAAAACCTGTGGAGGTGTGTACCTGTCTGACAAGCTGTAGCCTGTATAGTGTGTCAACAGTTGGACATGAGTCTGTTGGCCTGGCTGTTAACCAGTGCAGGCTCTTGTTTGCAGCCAACTGTCTTTCTTGCTGTTTTGACAAGCCTGGCTAGTCTGTTTTTGTTTGTTAATGTAAAATATCCATACCAGACAGAAATATTAAACACAAGAATACACTCTGTCAGGCTGACATACACTTTTTCCAAAATACTGTGCTGACTCCAGAGCCCTTCAATTTCCTGATTAAAAACAGTCTTTGACCGACTTTCTTGCAGAGCCTATAGAAACAACATTGTCCATGAAACCATGAATTTGTCATCCATGTGTGTTTCTACATAGTTAATTAAACCCCCCCTTCACTCAGTAAATGTGTTTCTTCTTGTTGGCTGTTTAGGCTTCACTGTGCAGAATGATGTACGTGCAGAGTTTGACACTAGAAGGATGTTTTCACATTCATCTGCTAAAAGTGGAAAGTTTCTTTGTGCTCATTAAATATCTAATTCTAAGGGGGCCTATGAGCATGATTTGTGACATCACAAATAATTTGGAGGTCAAACCTGGTCCAGTATTAAAATTATAGAATTGTGAGGTAGAAACTTGAAGCCACCAGTGCACATCCACTGAGAATGGACTTTACAGTGAAGTAGGAGACATCTTGTGTCCAGCAGGAAAACTTTAGAAATGAACAAAATTTGTCTATTCATAGATTCTGTATTTTTCTATGAGATAAAAGCAGTAAATCACTTTTTAGGTTAAGTTATCCTTTATTGATTTAAGTATTGATTATTTGCTTTTGACCCATCCTAAGTACTAGGACCAGTGGGCACCCACTGTGCGGCGCCTGGGAACCAACTCTAAATCTGAGCCAGTGCCTAAATCAAGAGAACTGGAGGATTAACCTAATACCTGTTTTGATGGGAAATGGAAGCAAACCAGAGGAAACCTGTGTGCAAATAAAGCTTTAGGGGATTACACACTGTGTATAATTTAACTTAATCTGTATTTTTTAATGTGGTAAAAGGGGTAGATGCCTTTTAAGTATTTTAATGTGGATATTCTAGTTCATTTTTTTGGCTGAAAAAAAAAAAAACAGACACACATTATTGTCGTAATACATGTCTGGAGGACATCTTTAAATCAGCTGACAATTTCCACATATTGATCACAAGGTGTAAGTCATAGAAATGGGTCTGTATGGTTTAAAACCTTTTTTTCCCTGCACTGACTTTCGAACAAATACTTCGTACAATTAGCTATTTTAAATGGTTTTTTTTTACCATCAGTTCAAAGACAGAGAAGCCCTTTGAGGACAGGTAAATCTTAATACTAACACACAGCTACTAGCACAAGTTAAGTTACCCTTTATTGATCCCCATAGGGAAATTCATTCTCTGCATTTGAGCCAGTGGTATATAGTAAGTATAGGAGAAGTAGGCTGCCACTATGCTGCACCTGGGGACCAACTTCAGATCTGAGCCAGTGCCTTGACATAAATATTTTGTCAGCAAGGAATACTAGAAATCTCCTGCCTGACAGCCAAACAGCATTAATTTAAAAACACCAAGATACACTGAATATCTAACATACTGTATATAATAAAAAATCTACCCCTGGCACATTTCAGGAAAACATGCATTGTATGAGTTGAAAACTAACCATCTATGCTCCTTTTGTACTTTTAGTTTAAGTCTTACCTTAGTATGTAAATATAGATGCTCCTAAGAGGAATCATAAACCAAAAGCATCCTGGCAGGTTCCTTTAAAATACAATATAATCCAGCAATGACTGTCTGCCATTTTCGTCTGTGCCACTGGCAGAAAGCTATGTGTGCTGTTGTTAATAGCTGTGTTTGGTTTCTCTGAATGCAAGTGTGCGCGCAAGTGTATGTGCGTGTTAGTTTGAGTGTCATACTGAGAGGAAAGGTGAGAAAGAGCACTTAATGTCTTACCTGCTCCAGAAACTCTGTGTATTAATGATTACACAGCCCTTAACCTTAACCTTGGCCATGGCACGTAGGAGGCATAAAGTAAAATACTTTTTTGTGAGACATTGTCACTCTGAAACTTGCCAACCATATAAACAATCTGCTGTAGTTTGACATTGGTGGCACTGGCAATGTGAGCAGAAGTATTTCTGGGTAACAGTAACTGCATTTCTTCCCATCAGTAACAGGTAAGTCTTAACCTTGAGGGGTGAGGAGAGGGGTTAAAATCCAATAATGTCTGTTTATATGCATGTTATGCATTATTCATCACCATCCTAATTTTCTCATCCCACAACCTACATTTTAATAACCTGGTTCATTTCAAACCACAAGCAACCCCAACCGAACACACAGACATACACATGCAGGCTGCACAAACGCATGGCAGGCGCTTTCAGTAAACCAGCTGCTGCGGGTGCCAACTCATTACAAGGGTTTTCAGACACCCTCCATTGTAATGTATTCCTTTAATTGTTCACTCAGCACCCACTTTCAATGAACCCAATGACCCTATTTTATCCTGTCTACTCGCTGAATTCTGAAAAAGTACACAATAATCTGCCTAATAATAGCAGAAAACATTATATTATTATGAATAACATTTAGAAAAGCATTATTGTATGTAGCATTTTGATGTCTCTTATATATCATATCAGCTGGATTAGGATGACTGGTTAAAAATCACATTTTGGGAATCATTATCAACGATCCATGCGTCTAGAATTTGTTAAGCTGTCTTTTATTTGTTTCTTTTTCCATCTATATACATATTTTTTTCGCCCTAGTCTGCGATCGATTTCTCCTCGATCGACTGCGGTTTCTTGTTGCTATGCAGGTCTGCGGGAGGGACGCAGCCTCCTGTCAGTGTCAGGCTTTTCTCCTTGAGCAGGCTGGAGCGCTGCTGTCCGGTGCTGTCCCGGCCTTCGCCGCATCGGGGAGCCGTTGAGCTTAGTTGCTGAAGGGGTTCCCCGTTAATACCCCTCCCCTCCTCTCCTCCACCACCACCACCAACCCTTCCCTCTGCTTTTTTTTCCCCTCTCCGCCTGTCTGCTCTCCAGCTTCACAACACAGTACAGTACACGCTAGTCCTCTAGTAGTGGCAGCAACCAACACAAGTGTGTGCAGTCTCTCCTCTCCGTAGCGTCAGTTTCTGCTCTGTATTAAACCAGCCATTTATCATCAATCATGGCGGCCGGAGTACAAATTTAACTCCCGTCTTTCCTCCCTGTCGTCTGAAGGGGAGGATTTTGTTTTGTTTTGTTTTTTTGTTTGAGGAAACAAAATATTAGTCCCACACTGATTTGGATTTCCACTCGGAATTACAATACATCTCACAAGGGAAATACCATTCATGTCAATACTCCAAAATGCAGCCGCCGCCGAGGAAGGTGAGTGATTTCCAGAGTCCGTTATGTTGTAGCTGGGCTGTACAGACAATGACAGGCAGATAACACTGTAGTAACCTTAGCTGGAGATATTGTGGGGTTTTTTTTACCAACCACACACACACACACACACACTCGATGCTGCAGGCTTAAGAAAATTAAAGGGGGAGAAAAAGAAACCTTTTTGCTAGCCAACATTAGCAGCGTTTGCTAGCTAACGTTAGGTTAGTCTGTAACCTAGTGACATTAATATGCGTCTGTCCAGCCGTTACAGCGTGAGCCGTCAAACGTCAGATAACGTTAGCTAGGTGGGCTAACACAAGACGTTTTATACAAAGCACCAGACCATGTTAGTGAGATAAAAAATGATTCCGATACGTCCTGTTGTAGCAATAAGTTTAAATGGAAAAGAAAAACAACAACAACAAAACAAACAAACAAACGTACAGTAATGGTCGGACGTTAACGTTACAGTAATATCCACGATCTAACGTCAGTGTTAGTGTATGCACCGGTGTTACTTTGGCTCGGGTATCGTGAGAACAGTCGGACCCCACACAGAAAAACAAAAAGCTGTCGTTTCTCCACGTTGTGATGCTTCTTGTCTCAAGGGAAGACCTTCAGTCCGACCAGGGTCACATCATTTCATCAAAGGCTGAGCTTGACAAAAGCTAAACTCACAGAGAGAGAGAGAGAGAGAGAGAGAGAGAGAGAGAGAGCAGACATGCTGGCAGAGCCATGTCTGATACTGACTTATTGATTCTGTATGGGCTGAGAAAAGACCACAGTCCCCTATAGCTTGGTACCTAGTGTGTGAGAGTGTGTTTAAGTTGCTTGCTATGAGTGTGTGTGTGTGTTGTGCTTGAAATAGATGCACGAGAGCCAATTACCCTGCTGTGAACCTCTGCACAGTTTTCTCTTAATTACCACATATTCCCCCAGTGCCATTTATGCCCTTGGTTTCTACACACAGACTGGCCCTGAACATGTCATATCATGTCTGTAAAACACACACTTGAACAGGTCCTTTCATCACTGAGGCTCGCAGAGACCTCTGTGGTTGTCTCGTTCCACTGTGCGTTTGATCAAGTGCACCATTAGGGTCATATTAATTTTGGAAGATCCCATTTGTCGGCTGCCAGTGTCCTTTCCCATTCAATTTGCTGTGAAAATACTTCCAAGAATGAAAGAGAATTTGCGAGATACAGATGCGTTACCCCCTGCCAATGAGGCTGGCACACTCAGTACGCTCGGCCCACAGCACCACAGCCAGAGTGTATCAGTATTTGGCTGCTGGACACTAATAATTTCTCTCCCAGTGTGACATGCAGCCCCTTAAGTGTTTTGTCTGCGTCTCAGCACATCTGCTTACAGACTGAGCTCATTTGACTCTCATATATTAGTTTTTATGTGGTTTAAATTAAATATGGCTGCTAATGAGCACATTTCTGTGGAGACTCTATCAAAGAAGCATTGGTGCAACTCTGTATTCATTTTTGAGGCCGTATTTTGTAGATTTAAGGGTATTTGATGTTTCGAATTCCTGACATTATCAAAGTCTTATAGTACAAAATTTACTTATTTCTCTACCAATTTCCAATAAGTGTGTCTAAACTGACAATAGTTGCAAAACCAATGGCATCTAACTGGAAGCTCAACCAATAAATCATCCAACATGCCTGTGTTTTGAACCGGTTGTAATCTAATTAACCAGTACAGACATATCAGAAGGGAGCCAACATGATCAATAGGACATACATATACTTTTACTTCCCTTTTCATACAAGCAGGTGCAGATGTGTACAACCAGAAGCACTGTAAAATATGTGTGTTAATGTTTGGGGTTACATAACAGGAACTTCTGTCTTAGCGACACAGCCCTACCTGCTGCATCAGCTACCACTACACCCACAGAGCTCTTTTCCTTTAACGTGACCTTTAATAGGCTGAATATCTTTTTCACACTGCCTCACAATTAACGTCTCCGTATACCATCGTTCCCACTGTTGCTCTCACCTTCTCCTTCTCGCTGACCGTGTCTCTCGCTCAGTCTCGCCATCTTCTTTTCTCTCCCTTCTTTCTTACTTTCAGTTACTTACCCATCGTATCATTCCCCACTCTCCCTCTCATTTTGTCTCCCCATCTCCCTGTCACCCTTTTGCCCTTCCCCTTTGCACCCTCCTCTCCCCGTGGTGTCCGATGAGTGATAGAAGGTGAAATCAAGTGGAGTAATTTTGTTCTGATAATGTAATGAACCACTCCCTCCTTATCTTCAAAGACACAGCACATGAAAGAAAGGAGCTCTGCAGTGTGTTGGTGTGTGTGTGTTTGTGCCAGTGTGGTGTGTGTTATGTTGTTGATTGTTTTGTCTAGAACAGTCATGAATTTGCCCACTGTTACCCTGGTGAATAGCTGATGGAATTCACCCCACAATACACAATGACCATCACAGTGACTCTGTATGTGTTGGCAGGAGTGTGTGTTTGTGTGTGTGTGTGTGTGTGTGTGTGTGTGTGTGTGTGTGTGTGTGTGTGCTGGTTTGTGTGCATATTAAGGGTGAGCTAACTATCTATTTTTGCACAAGGGCTCTGTGAATGAGTGTAGGTTATACCACCTGGTCTGACCACCCAAATTAATGTATAAATGAGGCGATACAATTAGCATGTTTTTCTAATGCACGTGCACTATGATTGTTCCTTAATGATGTTATGAACCGTTAGATGGTCTTCAGTCACCTCGAACTGCAAACAGCCTCCTCCAGCCTCTCAAACCCCGGACACTGATTGCTACGTTGATGGATTACTGATGGGAGTGTGTGTATGTGTGTGTTCCTGACTCTAGAGCTGAGCACACTGACAGGTGATTGGCAGATACATTGATTGATGGGGGTTGAATTGTGTGTGTGTGTGTGTGTGTGTGTGTGTGTGTGTGTCTGTGTGTGTGTCTGTGTGTGTGTCTGTGTGTGGGTTGGGGGGCGGGGGGTTATGTAGGCCACAGTGACTCAGGAGCTGAATTCTTTAATACTCGTATACTAAGAAACATTCAGAACTTGAGACTCCATCTGGATCAACTGCTTTGATATGGATATGGATTCAGGGAAAAGAGTGAATGTCCTTCATATTTTGCTCAGTACATTCAGTGAGCCTTCGGGGATATAAGTCAATTCTATGATGTGTGTGTGACTAACACATCATATTTTTGAATCAGTACCCCTAAATTGGTAATATTTTCACTAGAACTGAAACAGTTTGTCAATTGATTGATTGGTGGATTAACAGCAAATTAATCAAGTCTTTTTTATAGTTGATTTATTTATTTAATCAGATAATCGGGCAAAAATGTCAAATATTTACTGTTTCTAGCTTCTCAAACTCGAGGATTTACTGCTTTCCAGTGTTGGGTATCATTCTAAATTGAATATATTTGACTTTTGGACGTTTCGTTCGTTGGATCAAACAAGACATTTGTAGACGTCACCTTGGGCTCTCAAAACCTGTTGAGTCCTTGAGCCCAAGGTCATTATTTTTTAACATTTCATAGAGACATTTAGTGAGAAAATAAATGTTGGTTACATTTCTACTAGATTTTCTTTTTTACTGTTTGTCAAATTGGTGTATGACTTTTGGTGATTTCGTGAAACATTTAATCCAACAAGTGGTGGGTGATATGGCCTCTGAGGAAAAATCATTATTAATTAATGTGTTTATGACTTTCAGGCAGACAGAGGCGTTAAGAGTTCACTGAACTCTTACCACTAGCTCTATTATGATAACCAAAGTCTCAGATGATATCTAGTTTTACATCTCATTATTGTTATCATCAATATGGAAGGATACATGATTTGTGGTAGAGTAGGTTTAATTAGATACATGCACAGCAGCCAAATAAATAAATGACAAATCCTTTACTTGACGTGCATTTTTGTTTCCTCCAGGTCAAAGTGACACAGGAGCTGAAAAACACACACACAGAGCAGATGACAAGACTGCACTTTAAACACCAGACCGAATGTGACCTTCTGGAAGACATGAGGTATGAACACATCTGCATCACATGCTCGTACTAACAGTTCTCATCCACTGCGAAGGAACTGAGGAATACACTCACCAAATGCCAGATGATTTTAAATCTAGTCATCATTGCTGACTGTGATGTGCGCGCCAAGCACACATGGACACAGACACGCAGAGACAGAAAGAAGGAAGCAACTAATGAGTGAGGGAGGAGTGGCATGAGAAAGAAAAAGAGGAGGAGGAGTATTGTCATATTCCAGTTTTCTTGAGAAGGACAAAGGGTCGGGAAAATGACGAAGGAATTTCCTGCTGCCCTCTTCCTGCTCTCCGACTCTGTTTCTTTCTTCCTCTCTTTCTTCTTTTCGAAATTTCATTCTGTATCTCTCTCTGTCATCTTTTCCTTCTCCCTCGGTTCCATTTTTTTCCCCCTGTCCCTTTTGCTCTGACAATCTTTTTGTCTGTCTGTCTATCTCTCCTTTTCATTTTGGCTCAGCTCTGTTTACTCATGACGTGTGTGAGTCTGGCAGTTTTCCCTTTTGGATTTGGCAATGGGAGGAAACCCTGGTTCCTTCACACGCTCTCATTTTCTGTGTTGACTAAGCATTGATTATTTATGACAGCAAACTCTCTAATACTCTGCTTTTCTGCCCCCATCCCTGTCTTCCTCTCTGTTTCTCATTCTCACACTTTCTCTACCTCTTGTCTTCCTGAGACTTCCCTCTTTTTCCTCTCTCTATCTCCCCCCTTTTCACTCTTGGGGGCAGCTCCAGCTGTTTGAGAACAGATTGCCTTGTTGCTGCTGGGTTTTGGCGAGCGAACAAGGCCCTGGTCTCACTTGTGGGAGAGAGGGAGAGCCAGTTTAGCATATGCAACCACAATGTGTTAGTTCTTTCAGTCGTTGAGGGATGGAGCTACATGCCACTGGGTAAAGATCGTCAAATTAGCTTTGTCATCCCTGTGGTTGAAAGGCGCTTCCTGGAGTGTTTTCTCAGTGCGTTCCTCTAGCCTTTAATGTTTTGTAATTATTTTTGATGACACATTCTCATGGTGGTAAAATCAGGAGCAGCAGCGCGGTGCAGTGATTAGGGAGACCGCTTTTTATCGGGAGGCCTGGACTCAAGCCCCTGCAGCAGCAAACGTCTGTTTTGTCGATGTGTCCTTGAGCAAGACACTGAAGTCTCACTAGTTTTTCTGTTGGTGATGTGGCACTCGTCTGACTTTATTGTAGAGATAGATATTTGTGATAGATTGATCAGAATGGTTAGGTTAATCTGAACTTACCATCAGAAAGGAAGAAATACACACTGACTTTGACCCCTGTTACTGTTGTCAGAACCAGATGTTGTTTTAGCAGCGCTGTACCTCAGGTGCTAAAATGCAGCAGCTGGCCAAGCTGTCAACTGTCTTCACAGATCCCACTAAAATGACTGATCTGTTCAATGGACAAAAATAGTTTACATGTAGCCTACATGCAGGAGGAATATGGGCATTGTGTTTATTTAGGGACTCATTCATTTTTTGTCCTTACCCACCAAAGCTTTATGGAGACGTTAAATCGGGAAGTTCATATTAAAACCGTGGTCCTCAGGGCAATAGATGTGTGACATGAGTCTCTTTAGGTTTTCAACATTTTAGGACTTTTTGCAAATGTTGAAAATAATTGTTAGTTGTAAACACCATGTAGTTAACTTACCCGGTACTTTATTCAGACATTAAACTCTCGCTCTCGTAACAACTGCGTCCCTAACTGGCCGGAGTGTAATGTCAATAATGCAGTAGGAATTTCCACAGGAAGTAGCAATTATTGACCTGTCCCCATCCAGGGTCAGAATGTAGAGCTGATAACTGCTATGATGCCCACAAACAGTCAGTGAAGGGACTGCAGCAGGAAGCTAGCTAGTTGGCTAACACTGAGACATTTACAGTAACGCCAAGTAATGTATATTGTCTCTTTAAAAACACACTTATGATGGATTTGGACTGAAACTCTGAAAATATTTATGCAGACTTGTAGACTATGTAAATCACTTGGCTAGACTGCTGCTAAGGTGCAAATGTCATGTCAACTAAATTACCTCCCAAAACCATTGTTACAATAGCTGCACCCTACAAGACAAGGAAAGTGTGACCATATAATGAAACACACACGGTTGATAGACACGCATTTCCCTGTGTAAACCCTAAAGTAGATTTTAACTCTTTAATCCCAAAATCTGCTCTGAGGTTATTTACCCTAATTAATCCACGGACTGGCTTTAATCAGTGCACACACAAACACACACGGACGTACACAAGTTACTAGCTGTAGAACATTCAGCCCATGTTTTTATAAATTGTAAAAGGTAAACGTGAAAAGATAAAGAAACAAAGAATGAAAGAAAGAAAGAAAGACAGACAGACATAAATAAAAGAGAAGGGGCAGCACATTTAATCCCCTGGGACTGCATTTTAGCTGGACTGGTCTTAGGAGAGAGGATAAGAGAAAGAGAGAGAGGAGAAAACGATGACGAGTTGATGGACTCAGAGAGTCAAGTTGGTGTCCTCAATCCAAGTAAATCCCCCATACCCTTATGTCTGCCTCAACAGCTACACATGCACGAACACACACACACAAACCATAAAAAAAAGTCTTGTATATACTTGTGTGTTCACCTCATACACATTTGGAAACATTGACCTAGCTTTCACACACCCAATTGCTCTTCCTTTTACTAATAAGAACATACTTTTACCTTAACAGTGGAGCTGTAACACATTTTCGCTATTGCAGTTGTTTAATTGGTTTTATCTGTAGATTTGGATCAGTGATTAAATTGCAAAACACCATCTCACTATACATAATGCCATGATGTTGGTCTTTTTTCAAGCTTGTTGTTATGTGAAATGCATGATTTTCTAATTTAACATAGTCTAAATGAGTGCTTTATGTAGACTCTACAGAGAGACTACTAGACTGGGCTTGACTGGACTAGAATTGGGGTCCTGATCTGATCTAGGAATTTACCCCCCATGTCTGTGTTTTGTGTGGCACATTTGCATGGGATAAATGAAAATTGTGTTTCACTCAAATTTATTGACCAAATCCTAGGAATTATCTGCAGAAATCATTAAAACCTAATGGGTCTCCATGCTGAGTAGCTAGATAAACCTCCCCAGTCTCAAATCAAAATGCTATCAGAGTCCTCATTAATGCCTTTCACCACAGCCTCCATAATTTAGGAAGAGGAGGAACAAAAAATAAGACCCAAATTAGTGCAATGCTGATTCACACCCTACTAATATAATTAGGTGGCCTTTGTGTTTGGCGAAATGACACCACAGACAACCTCTGCTGTTATTCATAATCACAGGAGGACCTCAGGAATACTAGTCTCGGGGGGATAAAAGGACAGAGAAGATGACAGGTTTCTTAAACGAGGCAATGGTGATTCTTCAACCATGACTTACTAACTCTTTATTTATTTATCCCAAAAGAAAAACATAATAATTTATATCATACGTCACATCCTAAGCAAATAGCTGAGGCATCATTTGTCCACTATGCCTTTAGGAGGCACTGGCTATGACTGAGATAACCTTAATCTGTATGATTGAAACAATAACAGTTAAATCATGTTTCTGGTTCAATAATAAAGGATAAAGGGTCTGGTAGGTACAAGGCAGATATTACAAGTAAGAATCAAGCCAAACCACCTCAGAAATACTGTAAAGATCCTTACAATTGAATGCAGTGTAATAATGATTCCTATCTTGATGATGCTTATGTTATTCAGTGTTTATTGAGACTGTTAAACAACTGTGTGGCCATTTTGGAGGCTGACGTTTGTGGTGCTGTTGCATTGGAACTGCATTATACTGAAAGGATTTTCAAATCTTTCAAATATTTTGTCCAGCACCTTCTCAGGATTTGTATGATAGAAAACACGATGCTCAGTTAACTTCAGTCTCAGTCAGAGCGATGGCAACAGTTGCAATTTCATCTGATTAATTAACCCAGGCAGAGCACTGAGCAGTCATTCAGTGCAGAAGCTTTGTTCAGTGACAGATTCAAGTGTTCTACTTCAAATTGTCCTGAAGTGTGACAAAGTGACATCCAGCAACTTTCACTGAAAATTGCATTTCTCTTTGAGGAATGTCGTCATGTCCCCACAGAGATCTTTTTGACATCTCATGTGTCAGAAACCACAGCTGATCAGAACAGTTAGTTTGCTATGATAGTGTCTGTAGTCTGTATCTATTGTCTATATGTGTCTGTTAGACTGAAAGGGAACAGTTTCTGGTATATCTCGGTGAACTCTTTCTGCTCCTTTCCATCCGTTTCTGATTTTATCACAAGACAATAATATTTTTTGGATCCTGGATTTATATTTTCCCTTGACCCCCTAAAAGGCATTTGAGGCAGAACGTTGGAGTCTTGTTTATTCAAACCCCAGTGTTGAGCTTGATTTAGCCCCAGCAGCTGATTTTTCAAGTTGTTTGTACTGGTCTGTGCAAAATATGGAATCTGAACATGATCTTGTAGTTCTACACCCTCAGGGGTTTACTAATTGCCTAGCAGTGTTTTCTAGTGTTTTCTGAGGCTTTAGTAAACAAAAAATAGAGAAGAGAAGTCAAGTGGTGAGATGGTTTTGTAGAAAGCTAATGCCTTAAACACTAGCACAGAACCCCTTAATGTATTAACGTAAAGCTAACCTTTACTTCAGTTTTTAATTTTGTTGCTTAAAAATATCAATGGCATTTTATTGTGAAATGAAATAGAGAATGCTTATGTCCAAACGCCTGCTTAGTCTTGGAGTGGAGAAAACTGCAGTGAATCTGCTCTATTATGTGTTGTGGTGATCCCGCAGTGTGAAAGCTTGACCACCCTCCTGTCCTCATGTTCCTTATCCTGTTGTCCCTGATCTCAGGCTGCATCCTATAAACCATTGATCTCAGCTGTTTTCCCACGTTTGATCGTTCCCTTTCTCTGCCTTTACACACACATCCAGTACATACACTTAGCGTCCATTCTCAAGCACT